CCCATAAGAGTGACAAGTTAGAGTGAGAAATGAGTGGACCAGATGGATGCTGATGGCCACTGAATCCAAGATTAGAGTCGAGCTGTGCTTTCTGTCTCTGTTTACTGCCTGGTAGAGTGGCTTTGCAGTAGGCATTTTTAATGGCTGCCAATCGATTCCCATCCCAGGAGCCCTTGCTCTCATCGACAATGTCATATGCTCCGTCAAAACTGCCAGAGCAGCAGTCTTTACTCCGGCCAGCAGCAAATAAATTCCCTTGCATGAAAAACACCTTAGTCGATGCTTACCCCTAAATCAGCCATCTCGTATAAAAACTGACAGCTCTTCTGCATGCAGAAGGCTCTGGCCTTTATATTACCAATGTGTGAGCAAGATTATCTTGATTTCATTATTATGAAGCAAAATAGTCGTTGAATGGTTGGTGGAGACTGGTTTTTGCTCATTCTTAGAGAAAAACATTTTATTCATGTTGACACACGAGTCATTCTTGGGGAATGGTGTCAGTATCCTTTATTAATGATATAATAAGAAATTGAACTTTTTTGTCATAAATGTAACTTTGCTTACTGTGCGATGTACAAATAAAACTGTACTGAAAATACAAAAAAAAAAAATTCTTAAAATTGTGAGAAAAAGCTGTGTGGTACCAAATTCACAAGCTGCACTGATAAGTGTTTGCAGTTCTTGTTAAATGCTATTTAAATTTCAAAGCAAAAATCAAATTGAAAACACATTAAAAAGACTGAATAGCATGGGAGGGAAATGAGTGACATTACCTGAATTTACTATTAAAATACAGTGCTTTTGGATTTGTGATATATTCATGATTTGAGATAATAGAAACAAAAAGAAAAAAAAACATATTTGTTGATTACTAATCTGAATATTGATGGTGGTACATTCTCATATGTTTGACCCCACAGTGTCTATGGCAGGTACAGCACTATTATGTTGTTATGTTATGTAAATATGTTTTTATTGAAGCAAAAAAAGTTATCTAATACCATCTGGGCCTGTTTCAAAGGAGCTCAAAATTAACTGCCCAGTCTCAGTTAATACAATAAAAAAGCAAACCTGAGTTTCATCCCACTTACCTTCAGATTAAATAATAATTCATATAAAATATAAATCATAAAAAGATTTACATTTGATAGTTTCCTGAGAATGACACTAATAATTGATTTGCAAATATTTAAGGTGTGCTTTACAAAAGCTCGCTTACCTTGTACAAACAGAGCTGATGATGATCTGCCGAGTTTCGTTGGCAGCAGTTCACATGTGACTTCCTGTACAGTGGGGCTGAAGGAAGCGTTCAACAGAACTAACTCCCACACTGACAGAGATGACATGACTGAGTGATTGACTGTGGACACACTCTCATCTCTGCCCAGAGGACCATGTTCCACCGAAATAGTGAGGATTGTCCTTCCACCCAACAGCCACGTCATGACATCCCAGGATTCATCGGTGCTGCAGTTAAAGTGGACCTCACTACCTCGTAACACAGTAGCGTTCTTAGGTTCTAGATGGATAAAAGAGGCTACAGCTGTGAAGAGGAGAGACATAACTGAATAAACTGTAGACAATGGAGTCTGTGATGTTTTCTGACATGACACACATTCTTTGTGTTAAGGTGTATTACTTTATTAAAGAAGAAGAAGAAGATGCATTGCATCCATCCTCTTTAATAAACACCTTTTCCATTTCTGATTTCATCATATGTTATTTTTGAAATGTTCTAAATGTGTTCTGTACTGTTTAAATTGAAATAAGCCTCTTATGTTCACCAATAAGGCTGCGTTTATTTGATCAAAAAATACAAAAACGTGTTTTGAGAAACATTACAATTGAAAAAGAACCTTTTTTATATTTTAATATATTTTAAAATGTAATTTATTCCTGTGATTTAAAAAAAACTGAATTGTCAGCAACCATTGCTCCAGTCTTCAGGTAAGCCAAGTGATAAAAAGAACCTTTTTTATATTTTAATATATTTTAAAATGTAATTTATTCCTGTGATTTAAAAAAAAACTGAATTGTCAGCAACCATTGCTCCAGTCTTCAGGTAAGCCAAGTGATATGTAACGGATAATGTACATCCAGCCTGTTGTTATCTCAGAATAAACCTCGACAGGGTGATCAAGCCGGTTGTTATCTCAGAATAAACCCCGACAGGGTGATCAGGACCCCGACGCGAAGTGGAGGGGTCTTGTATCAGCCTGAAGGGGTGATGTACATTATGAGTACATTTAGAGCTTATTACACGGCTATTTGTCTCAAGTAAATTAGACACGAAATATTGACTTGAGTTGAAATATTTTATTAGCTCTTACGCAAAGCTTCCGCGAAGAAAAACAGTTCCTAACAAACTGGTTTGAGCCTTTTGAAGTCAGACAATACGAACATTTAAGGCATAATGTACAGTCGTATCACTGCTTACAATAAACAGTTGTTTTTACATTCCACTTTAATCCTACAGCAATTTTTCTTGGAAGCAAAGTCGTGTAGTTGGATAAACACACAAGTCTTTACTTAGCAGATGACACACTCACCTTGGATTACACACAGCTGGAGGATGTGGCCATGCATATTGCCAGAGAAACAGTCAGGCCATTGTTCTGCACAGCAAGGACACAGTAGAGAACATATTTGCAATTGCCACATTATATAAAATTGTAGAAACTTTTAACCTTGTTTACAACATCAGCTACACACATGAGAACGGTGCAGTCACACATTAAACAGCCTACGTTAAAGTGTTGTGAAATATGGTCCAGATGAGTATGTTTATCATGCTATTTAAATAACCAAATTAATTTGATTGAATTACGTATGTCTTATGGAATTACATTTATGTATTGAAAGGGAAAAAATTGCTAAAGTGATGCCATGAAACTTTAAGATATATGTATGGTATACATTATGCGTTAAATATGATTCACATTACAAAACTATCCAGTCTGGACACAATGAAAAATTAAAGCCAGTATGAAATGCTGCCTGATGTACAAATGGTACACTCTTAAAAATAAAGGTGCTTCAAAAGGTTCTTCAAGCGATGCCATAGAAGAACCATTTTTGGTTCCACAAAGAACCATTCAGTCAAAGGCTCTTTAAAGAACCATCTCTTTCTTACCTTTTTATAATCTGAAGAACCTTCTTTCGCCCCAAAGAACCTTTTGTGAAACAGAAAGGTTCTTCAGATGTTAAAGGTTCTTTATGGAACCATTTAGACAAAAAGGTTCTCCAATGGCATCGTGAAGCACCTTTATTTTTAAGAGTGTAGTTGGTGTGAAATACCTCTGAAAAGCACGTTGACTGATGCTCCAGCTAAAACTTACAAAATTATTACTATTTTGTGAATGTCATTTTTCTATGAGCTCATGTTAACTGAGAAACTATGCGAAATATTTGTACCTAAAAATATATTTGTCACGCGGCTGGACTTCAGGCAATAAATAAATAAATATGATTTAATAAACTAAAATTAGAAATGGCAACCAGTTATAGGGCCTAAATATACACTTTCCGTTCAGCAAGCGTATAACCTAAACATGGACATTAATAAAACAATTTTGTAAGTATAATCAAACGTATTTTTTTAATGATCACACAATGTGTGGAAACAAATCTGTTAAGAATGTGTGTAATTGTCATGAAAATAATGTCACTAATAAGAATTTTTTTTTGTTGTTGCAAAATATCTATTCTTTTTCTCTTTTGAGTTTAGGTGAAATATGACCTGAATCTACTGCTAACACAGAAACAATATAAGCTAATTCATGACAACATATGAACAAAATACTGTTAAAATTAAAATGTTGAGTCACCATTTACACGTATGGCCCAACATTTGTCTCACTTATTAAAGAATTTATCGTATATGTACCAAAAGCATCATCTGAATTACAAATCCTTCTGCTGTATTCTTACCTCGAGTATTCCAGGATGATTTATACGGCATTCCAGAGAGGTTGAACAGAACTCATGTTTCCCACAGTCAATTTTGTAGCAGTTTTCTGGCCACTGTGGGATGTGGCCCGAAACCAGCCAGTTAAATATTACTGAAAGCAAAACAGCCTTTTTAGCCTTGAACTGACCACTGCAAATATCCACCAGTGACTCACAGGCTGTGGTGAATATTTTAGTGATAATGTCTGAAATTTGCTGCTATTGTGAAGTCACATGTGAGGCCCACTCCTTGTCTTCCATTCACTATCTCGAGGGACTCTTTTTAAGGTCACATCCTGTTTGTTGAATTGGCACCACCCTGGTAGAACATTTCTGCTCTTTAAATACTCACAATGTGTCAAGAATAGAACATAATGAAGCAGACAGCGCCTGTAAAACTCACTCTTTATTGGTAAATCAGGGTATTTCCAACCATTCACTTCTGTCTGCGTACAAAGTACATTACCGACAGCTGAGAATGGCTTCCAGCAGGTACTGACGTCACATATTCAGACTGAAATCAGACACAATAGACTGAAGAAGGGAATTGTGACTGTGAGTGTTTCTGTCTAATTTTAACTTCAACTTCACTGTGGTTGTAACTACAATTCTACATCCTAGAACCATATTGTGTAGTCTAATTGAAGCATTTATGCATGTACAAGACCAGTGAAGTACAGTACAGTACGAGTTTTGGACACATCGACTCAGGCTTTATTATTACTATTTTCCATATTTCAGGATAATGACAGAAATATCAAGCAAATCAAAACTATTATGTCGTAGCTTAATGTATTTTCGATGTTTGTTTGTTTGTTTTTTGTCTGAGGGTGCAAATTTTAAACTTTGCATAGTGTTTGTATTTTTATTATTGCGAGTCAAACGATTAATCGCGATTAATCCGAAATAAACGTTTTTGTTTACATAATATATGTGTGTGTGTGTGTGTACTGTGTATATTTATTATGTTTATATAAATACACACACATGCATGTATATATTTAAGGAAAATATGTTTATATATTAAACAAATGTTTTATTTTGGATGCGATTAATTGCGATTAATCGTTTAACAGCACTAATTTGTTGTATTAAAAGTCAACAAAAAGCGTTCCTCATTTCATATGCAATTAGCTAAACCTGTTTAGGCAATTACCAATCATTCTGTACGACAATCAGACATTTCATATTATTAAAATGACCATGAGCTGTGTAGGCTCAACAATATGCGAAATAATTGTTACAAATATGATGGATAATATTGGCTCTTTAAATTGAATTCTGTCAAGTTTCATGGTATTAGCAAAAACAAACTGTGGTCAGTGTTCATACACTGTAAACCTTGTTTTGTTCATAGTTTTCGATAAGAAGGGGATATCAAGTACCTGCTCATGTTAGCATCTACAACAGATAGCTTATGGCTAGCTTAGCTTGACGAATTTGATCGAACACAGTCTTTCACAACACAACATATGGGATTTTCCTCCAACCATCTGAAAGTTTATAACTATTAATTTCCTATGAGTTCAGTCTATTTTTAGCATTTAGCACTGTGGCAAAGTATGTCCAAAATATGACTGGTAGTGTACTGTACTGTACAATATAAGACACACAGAGAAGTATTTGTTTTATAAGTATTAGTTTGGCACATTTGAGTGGTTTGGCACAACTATTTGGGATTCTATAGAACAAAGTCACAAAATATTCGTTTTAAAAGTAGTACAATAAGCTAGTTTCTATATGTACAGTAAGAAAAACACATCCCTTTAAATTCACTTGAAACTTGCCACTTAAGATGAAGCAACTCTAGCATAAAAAGGCATTTTGCAACCTCAAAAAGGCACCGTTTTCATGGGGGCTTGAAGTCGGGGTCCTGAGTGCATATTCTCCAGTGCACTGGTGTCACATTTTTGGTGAAGGTTTTTGTGGATGATTTTTGATGGCTCCAGGGCAAGTGGGGTGTCACTTCAAGCTGAAATGTAAAGCACAAAATAACAGAAAAAAATGGAAAACGTGTTTATAATAATATGCTTACAATAGAAACGAGTTTAAATCATTTATAGTGTGACTCACCACCACGGCCAATTTTGTCCTCAGCACTTTATGAAATAGCTTGTGGCAGGGTGTAAAAATCTAATACGTAAAAATCATCTTCAATTGTAGAGAAGATATTCATTTCCTTAGTGTGTGTCATTTTTATTGTTTTGCTGAGTGGACGTTCCACGTGTTATTAGTGTCCGCAATTTCTCTCGCAGCTTTTAGATGCATCTATCTGTCCTTATGAAATCACAAAACTAAATCCTGACAAATGTGTCGCCACCCTTGACATTCACTGACATAAACCTTTGGTTTATTACAAAAAGTTATTTTATAGCGGGTCAGAACCCAGAACCTTCAGTGCAAAAAGATTAATGCCGGACCAACAAATCATGCTTGACATTCAAATGCTGATCCATGCGTTTATTCACTAACCTATAAGACCCTGCGACGGACTGCGGCAGAAATATGCATCAAATGAAATATTTCACAAGTTCATGTGAGCATTTACATTTGGTCAACAAGAATTCTTCTCTCCTCAAATCACAGTGTAATGAGACATTATACAAAATGAACATCTCATTGTACTTTTCAAATTGCTGGTTACAAGATTTTTGAACTTTTCTAGTCGTCATGATATTGCGTGTTGTCCATTTCATCAATACATCACAAAGACAATTCATCAAAACAGTAAAAGTACATGTTAAATTATTGATACATAATTAATATTTATGACTTCACAACCTGCATTTATTTATGGTTCAGCCCGTTTGCCTGCTAGGAATTCATTGTCAGGGCATTGCTGTAAATATATATTTACAGTAATGTAAATATATACACATAATATTGTTAATATTCTATAAATATAACAATATTTAAAACATAAAAATAAAAAAAACATATTTGGAAGAAAATGTCCATTTGACTGCAACCTGCCGGTGCTATACTCTAATGTCTCTCTGCCTCTTTTCATACTGGAAGATATAACTCATATCGATAGATCTTATGTTATTCACAGTGACTGTGAGGGCCAGATTTCTGAACACTGAATTTCATGAATTAATATGCTTAGTATCAATAAAGATTCAAGATATTAAAGTTACAGTAGCTTTTCATAGTACTCAATCAACTCTTCTATCTTAAAGGATAAATTAAATTGACGGTACATAAGCGAGCCATTGCTGCAAGATTTTTCTTTTGAGCAATCAGTTGTCCTTGATTCACCAGGCCAACTGATATCTTCAGTCCTGGACGCTTGTGTTTTATACTCTACCAAATGGTATCCTACAACGCCACCAAGTGACAGAGAAGACAGGAAAAAACACTTGTATTACCTGTGTGGGAAAATCCAGGTCCAAAATCCTCAGCTTCAGAGCACTAGTCTTCCTGTGAATGACAGCAATCACACAGTTAATTGCATATTGTCCCTAGATGTGCAATATAAATGCTTCCTGTATAACGTGTTTAGCCATAATTCCATAATTCAAGAGTTGTATTCATTGTTTTGGAATAGTCTGGCTATCAGGTAGATAATACGGGTCTGCAAAAAAACTGCTATAACTACATAACGGAGTTGTTAAACAACTTGAAAAGTGCATGGATTAAACATCATTTTATTAATTTAGTTATCTTCAAACAGCATCAGCAGTATTGAATCAGTCTAATGCTACCAGTTGCAAGACAACTTTTTTATTTTCTGATTCGCAAAGCATCTAGATTATCCAGAAAATAAATAATTTTCTGTTCGAAAAAAATGATTTAAATATGTTGTAATAAACGTAAAAGCAAGGCATTCCAGAGAGTTGTAAAAAAAAAATAATAATAATTCCATTATCAAATAAATTCTTTTTTGGATGCTGGTGATTGAGCTTGCATTATTAAACTGGGAATACGCCATTCTTCCCTAACATCAGACTCTCTCTCATTCATTGAACATACACTCAGACCCAATGCTATAAACACATCACAGCATTTCCTTTTTACTCCACATCAAAACACCATTCAGTGCATTGCCTTTGCTTCTGGATGTCAACCATGCCATCCTGAAAGAGCAGAGTCCATGTCCTGCTTATCTCAATTCAACATTTTCAAACCAATGTGTATTGCATGCTGATGGTCTTGATCATCATCTGAAAGATGTTCTTAATGCGACAACATCATGATTACATTTGTTCAACAAATTCTTTGATGCACTTTGAACAAGGCATTTTCTGCATCCTGGGCCTTCAAACAAAACAGTCGTGCGTAAATTCCATTTTTAAAAAAAGTCAGGAAGAGCATAAAAGTAATAAAACTGAAGCCCTACACCCCAACAGTTTTTGGCCATCCAGACAAGATGATAGCACATTTTAATAATGACACTGGTCACCGAAAATATTTGCATGATGTTGCCAAGAACCAATAACACTGTCATAACAGCCAGCAAAGCAAACAAAAAAATACTAAGTGCACCTTTAATCATATATATATATATACAACATATTAACAAATAAATGACAAAACAAGGTTCAAATGCTTGTTAGGATCTAATAATAAACCAACTCTGATTAAACAAAACACCTAGAATAAATACTTTTTATGTCTTTATTGAACACACAGGACCCAGCAATTACCAGGGCAAGTGTTCAATAAAAATATTTCTAAAGTATCTTATTTTTGTGGTATTTGTTTGAGCAAGTTAAAGCTGCTGTAAGTGACTTTAGTCATCCTGCTGCTTTCTGCCAGTGTTAAGTGAATTAGATCACTACATAGGCCTATTCTGTTTCCACAACCCACCCCCTAAATACTTGTACACGCAAAATGACTGAGAGGTAGAGCGCCACAAGTTTTCTGATCGGCTAACGTGTCCATTTAAAGGAAGTCAGTTCACTTGTGGGTTTTCTTTTCTGTATTTTTCTCTAAGCAATTTAGGAGAAAGATCTCAGCCAAAGTTAATACTTTAAAGAAATCTGAAAGAATGACCTAAAGAAAATCACACAGTGTGATTTTGAGGATGCCTACATCAGTGACTCCTGTCAGATAACAAGGACATTTTGTTTGTAATATTGAAAAAGCGAATCATTTTCAGCAGCTTTAAACACTATAATACAATACGTTTAAATTGCTTGACTATTTTTTTAATCAAGCAATTTAGTGACACAAATATAAAGGCAAAACTTATTCAGATGCAAGTATCTAGTCCAGTGGTTCTCAACCTCCCTGACTCAAAGACAATATTATAGGTTATTATATTACATATTATAATAAATGATTAATTTTAAGAATTTAAGCTAATTTAATTTCTGAATGAAAATTGTTTCAACACAAAAAATTTTATCCAGTGTACAGTATATAATCAGGGTATTTTCCGTCCAATCGTTTTTTAATTTAATATTAAAATCTGACAAATGAAAAAACAGCACATTTTTCGTTTTTCATTTGTTCAAAAAAAAATTTGACATGAAGGCTGCCTCGATGAGCGTTTTCTTTCTAGCCATAGCCCTCCAGCTCAGGTGAGCCTTCCATTCCTTCCCGATCTTCATGGCTTGGAAAAATCCATTCTCGTCCTGCATCCACAGATTCCAGCATACTAGTTATGCCAACATCGAGGGGATGCGTGAGAATGGTTATGAAAAGATGCTCCCTGTTGAAGAGACGCTGGCCTGCTATCTCTCTATGCGGGAAGACATCTTCTCTTAAGGTTCCCTCCCTGCCGTCCAACTCCCTTCAGGATACATCTCGTTTGAATGGCAGGGCATACGCGGCAGCAGGTCAGGCTGCAGCCTCGTTGCATACCATGGCGGTGCTTCAGGCTTATCAGGCTGATCTGCTGAAAGACCTGGTTAAGGGTCAGGGTCTATCCCGATGAGGTGCCTGAGTTGCGTCACACCACGGATCTTGCTCTCCGTGCCACTAAGCAGGCCGCCACTGCCATTGGCAGATCCATGGTGGCCATGGTGGTTACGGAGAGACATCTGTGGGTGAGCCTGGTGGATATCGGTTCGAAAGAGAAGGGCTTTCTTCTTGATGCGCCGGTTTCCCCTTCTGAGCTTTTCGGCACTTCCGTCAAAACAGTGGTCGTGAAGTTTATGGAGGACAAGACGTGCTCGGCTGCCTTTAAATCCTTCATTCCACGAAGGTCCAGGTTTTGGACTTCGCCTCCAGCCTATATCCACTATCCTAGTCATGCGCGGGAGACATGGTTGGTGAGTACGATCCATTTTCATCTACTATACTGCTAGTTCTTGTGTATTCGATGCTAGCCTTTCTCTACAGCGCTATGCAGACCTGTTCTGTTTTCTGACTTCTAGGTTTGACCCACCTGCTAAGTCAGGACCTCCTGCTGTTGACCGATTACAGTGATGGTTTCACTCACGTTTGAATGGCAGGGCATACGCGGCAGCAGGTCAGGCTGCAGCCTCGTTGCATACCATGGCGGTGCTTCAGGCTTATCAGGCTGATCTGCTGAAAGACCTGGTTAAGGGTCAGGGTCTATCCCGATGAGGTGCCTGAGTTGCGTCACACCACGGATCTTGCTCTCCGTGCCACTAAGCAGGCCGCCACTGCCATTGGCAGATCCATGGTGGCCATGGTGGTTACGGAGAGACATCTGTGGGTGAGCCTGGTGGATATCGGTTCGAAAGAGAAGGGCTTTCTTCTTGATGCGCCGGTTTCCCCTTCTGAGCTTTTCGGCACTTCCGTCAAAACAGTGGTCGTGAAGTTTATGGAGGACAAGACGTGCTCGGCTGCCTTTAAATCCTTCATTCCACGAAGGTCCAGGTTTTGGACTTCGCCTCCAGCCTATATCCACTATCCTAGTCATGCGCGGGAGACATGGTTGGTGAGTACGATCCATTTTCATCTACTATACTGCTAGTTCTTGTGTATTCGATGCTAGCCTTTCTCTACAGCGCTATGCAGACCTGTTCTGTTTTCTGACTTCTAGGTTTGACCCACCTGCTAAGTCAGGACCTCCTGCTGTTGACCGATTACAGTGATGGTTTCACTCATCGGTTCTGGATCCAGGCTGGTGATAGCCCTCATCTTCGGCTTGGTAATGCAGCCTGGGCTTCTGAGGAAGCCTCCCAGCATCAGGTCCCCAGTATAATGCTGCAACCTCAGGACCTGCGGGTCCTTCTCGTGGGCTAGTACTCTTCTGAGTACATGCTTCGTGATATGCTCCCTATCCTCTGACCAGGGTGCGCTACTCATTTCTCACCCTGAAGGGTCTCCCGAGATTTGAGTCGTTCCTTAACCTTCATGCACATTCTCTGAGCTAGAGCTCCTCTCGCTGAGGTGTTGAGAAGCTTAACGCTCCATAGACGGTCGGGCCCGTGGGTCCTCACTGTCAAACTGCTCTTATGGTTGAACCAGTAATCACCCCTCTGCGGAGTGGACTGGAGTACACTGCGTACCCTGAGTTAAGAGGGATTTGTGTTTCTGTGGAAACCCCTCTTTTGTGCTTCTGCTCTGAGGAGCAGTAAGCTCTATACACATGAATGGTTATTGAGTCCCGCTATTTCTTCAGATTCTATCAGGTCTGGTTTTACGGGACCAACGCTCTCTATCGAGCATGAGACCGTGTCCAGCTGCACCAGTGGACTGTCTCTTATTGGGCCCTGCTGGGTTACCCCTTCTAATCAAGTGCCCACTTCTGGTCAAGCTGAGAAGTGCTCTCTGAGAGGGTTAGCTATGAGTCGCTCCCAGTATGTGCTGTAAGGGCCCATCTCAGCTTGAGAGCCGAGAGCGCTGCTCTCGAAGAACCCCATTTGCAACAAACTAAGTGTTAGGGACCCTGTTGTTCCCTTAGAAATGTGTGATCCCATTTCTGATGTCCCATTTGCGATCTATGTGCCCCCGGACATGGCTGTGCTCCCCTCACTGCGGGAGGGTCCCTTTGAGCTCGCCGTTCCTGGGCAGACTGGGTGAGTCCTCCTCTCGACTCGAGAGTTAGGTCCTCTGCCCTGGGCTATTGACCGCTTCGGTCGAGCTGGGTTCCTCTCTTTCCTCGCTAGGGGTTGAACCCTCCGCTCTATAAGCTCCGTGGCAGTGACATCAGGTAGTTGGGCCACTTGCTGCTTCCCTAATAAGCTGCCTCTATTCGGGTCAAGCCAGGCAGTGCTCCCCTCACCTCAGAGGGTTGTCTTTGAGCCTGCCGCTCCCGTCTGAGCGTTTTTTCCTGTGATCGCGCAGGGTAATGACATCATAGGCTGTCGCCGGCCAATGTCATTGTCATTTGTAGATGTATGCTTCAGACACTGGTCACACTGAAGGCATTCCCCCATAGCAACCCCTAGAGGACGCAGTGTCTCATTCCCTTCTTAGGGAACCATGGTTACATGCGTAACCTGAGACATTATCCACCTATCAAAATCAGTGTGGCAAAGCTGCACGACGCACTACAGCGT